CATTATTTGTAATTTGTCCAAGTTTTTCATGGTTAAACTGAACTGTGAAACAAAATTGAGTCATGCTGCTTGAGCTAAATATACTAATAACCAAAACCCCACATACAGCTATTTTATGTGAGTTTTGGGTAGCACTGTATAGCAATCAATAAAGCTGGGTCTTCAACCCTTTAACTCCCAGAAGTGATTGACATGTTTCTTATCACTGCAAGATCTGTACATCGTTCAGAAAAAGGGTAGAGGGAATACTCAAAGTTATCAGGTAGAAGTTGTTGCCTTGATCTAACACCAAATTCTTGCACCAGTAACTAATTTACAAGGAAATGTTTAGCAGGCAGATGGGAGAGTTGAAAATCAGATCTTGTGAGTTGAAGTGTTTAGAGAGCCAAAATGTAGGTGGAAGCTGGTGATGTGAAGAGCATTATGTTCTAATTCATTAGGAAAACATTTTTCTGGCTGGAACTAAAGCAATTGAAACTAAAAGTTATGGAATTTATAAGCCATTTGGCTTTAGATGACTCAAATTATTCTTTAGCTGTTACTCTTTAAGAGGAACTTGAAAAATGTGTGCTGAGGAGTTTAACCCTTTAATCCCTAAGAGTGACTAGCATCTAATTTCTCCTTACAATATCACAGCCAAGTCAAACATTAAGGTCAGAAGAATAACAGATATGATCGCAAACTGAAGAAGCTCTTGATCTTCAAACAAATTCTTCTTGTTTGTATCATTATAGGAAATGTGTAGAGAACAGTATGGAGAATATGAAAATTTATGTTAGGATGTGAGGGGTTGAAAGGATAGTAAGGATAGGTTGATTATTCCCTTTCGGAAACAATAGTGATGCTGCTCGTTTCTTTACTATTCATAATTTTGCTACTGCATGTACACAATGTGTGAGAAACTGTATGCTTTGTGGCTATGTGGGCCTTAGATTTCCATTTACCAATTATTTATACTTCCACAGGTCATTACACAATCAATGACAAGCTGGTAACAGATTCACCCAAAATTGCCACTGCGCCTTTTAAGTCTACAACAGAGAGAAAAATGATGCAGTCTCCTGTACCATACCCTGGGCCTGGGTCATACAAACCCTTTGGAACAGCAGAACGTCAAACACTAAAGCAGCAGCAGCAGCAACAGCCGCAGCAGAGTGGATTTCAGTAAGTACAGCTTGGGGGCACTCACTCACTATCCCTACATGTATATGATCAATTCAGAACGAAAGAGATGTTACAGGCTCTAAAGTGCAAGTGATCTACCAATTTTGCTGTGTTCGACACCTCCTGAGAGCCAATCCAGAAATTTTTGAATTGGTGGTGTGTGACAAAGTTGTAAAACCCTATACCCTCAAATAATGTTCAATTCATGACCTTGTTCAAGGCAAACATTTGTCATAGATTGCGGCCTGTCAACCTTATCCAACCACAACTGGTTTATTTGAGAATTTTCACAATACCGTGATTTACCCAATAAAAGGTTTGTGTAAACCATGTGTTGCACATTCAAACTGTTGTGGTAATGGCTGCAATTGAAGTGCTAGTTGCAGAATAATATTAAATATTCATTAATTTCCCAAAACAACTGAATTTCAATTTGGCTTTTTGAGTGTAAGCCCAATAAACGGTTCACTAAAATGTGTGACTGTTTAAATACCTTGAACATTCAGAGGATAGAATCTTCCATGCATGCAAGTTATGCATACTTTAATAACCTTAAGCCCAAACAGCTAAAGATTTAATGGAGATGAAAAACCTTATTGCATTGTTAATACTGGAGAGATGAAGGACATGGTGTCAAAATAACTTTTATTACTTCCTTAATCTTGCAGTAACAAGCACTATTTGTGTATCTCTGCACCTGCCATGCCCCTCCCACCCCTAGAGCCTATGCCAGGACCAGGCCATTACAATGTGGTTGACTATGAAGGCCCCCCTAAACATTACATGTCGGGCTCAGCTTTTGTATCAACAACTAGTAGGTGGTCAGGAGGGGCACCTGGAGAGGAAGAGGCCCCAGGGCCAGGTATGTACATGTTATTTAGATTTGGCTGTCAATTCCTGTAAAGTACAAGAGGCCACATGGAGTGATCTGTGACTCTTGCTGTGCATCCTTAAGCTCTAGATAGTTAAACAAATTCTTGTTGTAAGCACCCAAGGTAATGTTTAGAGAACAGTAAGGAGAATTTGCATATTGATGTTGCAGTGTAAAGGGTTAAATGTCCAGTTGTTCACACTTGTAACATAAAACATGTAGTGATCAGGTTTGAAATGAACAACACATTCTTACCAGAGTTTTTTTGGCCCTAAAATAAGCCAGCAACTTATCTCATACAGCATTCATTTTTCAATCATTTTTTTGATTGGTTTCAGCAACTTATCGACCACAGCATTATGGAAAACAGTCATTCATCTACAACTCACATGGAAGATGGATATAGCATTTGTTATTATTTAATAGTGAAAAATCCTATTTATATTACACTGTAAGACAATGAAAACCAAAAGAAAATATAGTACTTCCTTGCTTAGGGTTTGATACAGCAAATTACAAAGAAAAATTTTCTTGCAGTTTTCCCATCTTCCCTGGTTTAAAAGAGTATTTTTATCAATTGTTCATTCACTGTTTATAGATTGTTTGTACATACTTCTGAGAATATAATTTTTAAATGTGTACAGAAAATATATGCAACCTACAAAAAAAAAATCTGAGTCTCAAAATCACCTTTTAATTTGGCTAATAGGAGTGTCAATTTGAGTCACAAATATCAGTATGAATAAACATTTGGTATGTGAAAATTATTTTTGTTAAACCACAGTGCACAAAATTAGATTGGTTTTTCAAGTGTTGTTTGCAACATGTTAAAGGTGTCACAGCTGTGAACAGTTTGCATGGTGAAAAAAACATTTTCACCCTTTCATTTAAGTCGAAACAGTTCTACTTTACCATGGTAAAGCAAACAAACCTAGACTCAACAAAGAGATGATATATCATGAATTTATTTTTGTAAATTAAAAAAAAAAAGGTTTGCCTTTGTACAAAATTGTATGTAATAAAATAGAAAGAAAATGTTTGCATCAGCAGCTATTCTTATATGCTACAACAAGGTGTGGGAGGTTTAAATTCCACAATAAATATGCTGTGTTAATGGGATGGTTTCTTTAAAGTATGATCAGGCAACTGTATTTCCAGGTAAGATTACTGCCTTGGTTGTGTACTTTAGAAGCCATATTAAACCAGTATGTCATTCATCAACCTGATTATTGGTGCTGCATGTACCTTTCTTTCAGGTTGTAGTAGTTTTTGCTACATGTATATGAATCACAATCACTAAGAAGAGTGCTTTCTGGTTTAAATCTTGGGCTCAAACCATTTCCTGTGGTCAGGGCTACACTTAAAAACTCCAATTGAAAGTTGAGGCTTGAATTATGGTATCACCTGTGGAAAATAACTCTAGTAATACAATAGACAGTCACAAAATATAAATTTATCATTAAAATGCCCCCTGAGTTTTACCTATCTTCATTAACAACTGCACACCTGGCAAACTTACTCCAGCCCCTTGAAACCCATAAAAAGTACAGAAATTGAGAGTGAATGACTTTTGAAGAATGGAAAGCAAATAATCTGCAGAATGATCTTCTCAGTAAAGATGAGTATCAAACCACTTCATAATGCATAAAATTATAATGAAATATTTTAATGTTGTTGTTATTGCCCACTTTAAGTAATTAAATCTTTTAAAACCACCAAAAGTTCCTGTGAGATTAAGTTAAATTTTGGACCCTTTGACCCCCTAAAAGAGACTAGCATCTAATTTCTCCTTACAATATCACCCCTGAATCAAACATTAAGGTCAAGAGAATATAGGAAATGATCACAAAATAAAGAAGCTCTTGATTGTTAAATAAATTCTCCATGTCTGCACCTAAGAGTAGTATACAGAACAGTAAGGAGAATATTCATACTGATGTTAGGGAGTACAGGTTTTATCATTTGTCTCACAATGTAATCAACTACCCCATATAAAACAATGTTCCCAATGCCTGCTGGGTATCATATGATAAGGATCACTTTTTTTAATGTAATCTTATGAAGCATGCTGCTCTGCAGTGATTGGTTGGTTTCCAATGCTGTGATTGGCTTTTTTTCATTATCTGTAGTGCTGCAATGCATTCTTTATCCTTTGCTGAATTGTTCCCTTATCAGTTTATTTGTCGCCTCACAGTTCTCCTGTCTGTTGCTGTGTTTTGTGATAATGGGATCCATGCTTTAGTTATTTCAAAAAAATTTTCCTTGTGGATGTAGTGAGGATGAGCTCTTCCCGTCATTAAAGAGCCTCTTTGACATTGGAAATGTTGAGGGAATACCATAAACCATCTTAATTTAATGGGTACTTAAAATGCTGGTGGTGCTATGTGTCATAAGACACTCTAAAACAACTGAGATCCTTAAAGATGACATCATTCAGTGTATGACACAAGCACACTTGAAGAGAAAGAACTCTGAGTGTTCCCAATAGGGATCAAACCTTCTGAGAGGAGACTATATGGGACTACGGGAGACTTGTAGCAGGCTAGGCTGTCAAAATAGGTTCATATCAACAAACTTTCTGCATACTGCTAGGATAGGAACATTGACACAAAGTTGATACAATGATAATGTAAATAAAGATGAACTGGGGTTCTGGTTGTGACTATGCCAAAAAGAACACCTCTTTCCTGCCACTTCCTTTGGTGTTCATTCCTGTCCTTCTTTGCCTCCCAAATGCTGCCACATATGATAATGAAATCTCTTCTTTTTTACAATTATCCATCATAACTTTAGTATAGTTTAGTTTTGGGCTTTTCACAATTCTCTGTTGATTCTGAAAAGAGTAATTGGTTCAATATCCTTGACATTACACTCTTAGCTATCCTAAAATAGTTTGAAACTTCTCTTGTGATAAAATAATCAAAATGACTGTGCATCAAATAATAATTCACTGAAACCATAATCATTAAAATTACTTTTTATGACCCTTTATTGTTTTTCTTTGGAGCATTTCTCACAGAAATTTTACAAAAACAAGTCAGGTTATCCTTGGTTCACTTATCGAGCCAACAAAGTTAACAAAAAGTACATCAATATAAAATGTGTTTTTGTAATTTTACACTTATGATAGTGACTTATGTATAGTTATCATTTTAAAGCAGTTTTTAAAAAAATTTGCACAGTAAATCTCATATGTGAAAAAGGCTCTTGTAATGGTTATATTTAAATATAAATGAAAATTTCACTCCCTTGTAATCAAACAAACATGTAAATTGAAACAGAAAATAGAATGTAATTTCATGATCATACCAGTTATTTGGGTAATACTGCACCTAAAATGATTTGTTTTAACCTTCCTTATCAACTTTAACCTGTCTGTTTGCCTTGATCAGTAGAAGATGATTACATAAAAGATCAATTGAGACTGCAGTTAATGAAGTTATTTTGAGGAAATAGGGTATTTATAGGTTTGTGTCCATACCACCAAATTGTAACACAATGTTATGTCAATTGTAGGTTTCTGTTGGGGAGTTATATAAAGAGGTAAACATTTAAAGATAAAAATATGTGCATAATACCAATAAGGATACTAATGGAATATCAGTTAGGATTATAATAGCAATACAAGTCATGCAAAAACAGCTTGGCAAACCATAACAATCTATACCAAAGACACTCATCTGAAAAAATCAACAATCCAGAAAATTGGCAGCCATCAACAACTCCAGTGCAATCTCTGGGGCAATGGGAAATTCTGGAATTTCTGTGCTGCTGTTGGTGTATCGTACTTTGTACATGAAATAAGTACACACTTTGGCCAGCACATGTGAACTGTAATAGAGTTATCTATTGTCAGTCATAAAACATGTCATATGTCACACTTATCAATTTAAACCAATCAACCTTAACAAGGATAGAATACAGCAACAAAGGCCAGGCAAAGCATTGCTTTAACCCTTTCCCTTCATAAAGCCATATGTGAAAAAGCATACCTCTAGGAAAGAGATCTATATATATTACTAGCCATGATACAGCAGCAAGGCAGAGGTCACAGGTTCTAGTCCTATGCCACCCTTGTAAATACCCAACTGTTTTATGTCCCACACTTTAAACATCCTAACTTTGGTGTGTTTAATCTGAATCACTTATTTAGAAGATTTTCTGCCCTCCTCCCCCCTCCCCCAGCCTTTGAGCTGTGTCCACTAACAAGTATATAATACTTTAGCAATTATACTTTGTCTGTTGTATTTCTTAAATAATGCAGTTCCAACCAGTGGCATATCAAATGCACTGCAAAATTCTAGAACACCTGAATATGCATTCCAATTGTCCAAAATAGCCACATTGATTACTAAATAATAATCCTTATAAAAGTAAATTATTTACTAAAAGGCTTATTTTAATTCATTTGATAGTGCCTTTATAAGGCATCTTTAGGGAACTTCTTAAAAAGGTGCAGCATCCAAAAGAAGTTTGCCATAAGAAAGATAAATAGGAACAATTTGGAACAAATCTATAGGCAAAGCATTGTCAATTATTAAGAACAGTGTATCAGAACCTTAACATGTGGACGTCAAGGGTAATTTGAGCTATAAAACCCTCCAAGGGCTATTACATGTAGTGTTAAAGTATAGGTAATAACTTTATTTTGAGTGCAATTTGGTGTTAATAAGCAAAAGTAAATTTCAAGACAACAAAATTACATGAGCCTATAGGGGCAAATGCAATTTGCAGTCTTTGAAAAATTTACAAGTGCTTATTGACACCACATTGCACAAGAAATCATCTTATTACTTGTTAATAATACACATGAAAAAACATCACAAATAGTCAAGACAAACATAAATTTTGACAGCACACGCCATTTGTAATTTACACCTGTGTTACAACTTTGCACTCATGTTACATGAGAATGCACTCGTTTTCAGCCAATCAATCAGACATGCATAATTTTTTCATGTATATTATAAATACCCCTAAAAATTCCCCTAATCATGCTACATAGTTATACAAGTAGCTAGATTTCAATAATTTGATAGTTATTGATCCACAGAATTTCATTCCACATAAATGCAGCTACCATAGACACTTCTGCTAATGACTGCTAGAGAAGACAGTATCACAATGGTATTTACAGTGGGCAAAAAAGTCATTGTAGAAGACAGAGACTAAAAGTTTTAAGGCACCACGTATTTTGTACTTACGGAATCTCTCTGAAGTAAACTTCATTGGTTTCATTCTCTGAAAACTGGCCTATGTGAGAAACAATTGAGTATAACAACATCTATTAATTTTCATGTTACATGAAATTTGTATTTTGTTATTTAGCAGTTTGAGATGAGGTACACGATTCTATGAAAGTAATATCTCTCTTGGAAATGTTATTTTGTTATTTTGAAGTCCTTAAATTCTGACATGGTTTGATGCTACTCTGGTTTACGGATTTAATGAATGTAACCAAAGAAGTGATGGCGGCTTACTTCCTGATGCCTATTTACCCCTCGCCAGAAAAAGGCAGCTAATTAGTGATTGTATAAAAGGACCTCTTGTTGCAGCGTGTAGATCACCCCCGATGAAGGCACTAGACAGGAGTGTCGAAACGTTGGGTCTATGAATTGTAACTTCTTTGGTTACATTCATTAAATCTGTAAATCAGAGTAGCATCAAACCATGTCTGATTGTCCACCTGGTTGCCATTTGAACTTTAAATCCTTAAATTCTATACTTAAAATAATATTGTAACAGGTAACATACATTCTAATATCAAAATAAAAAAAAAATACCAATGACAGGACTACACTTGACAGTAACAATTAAGCACTTTCATATTTTCTAGAAGCATTTTTGATTGTACAGTGTATGCGAACTATTGTCTTGAGTCAAATGATCACAGTATTCTGTCACACAGGAAATTTGTATGCCACTGAGATACTAGAGACAAGGTCAACTTTATCACAACTTTTTTTTGCAACACTGATTGTTGTGAAACTTTAATGTAATGAGGTATGATCATAATGCCTTTTCATCTCACAGAGGAATAGTGAAAACAAACCATAATACCTGAAAACAGAATGGCGTTTTGGAGGTACTGCACAGATCTTACCTGGACCACTTAACATGGCTTTGATTGTTCCTGATGTCAAGGCATAATCCCTGTTGATTATGAATTCATGATCATCACTGGATATCAGCTTGACATACATAGCATTTGGTCCCTCACAGCCTCCATATTCAGCCTCTGTTTGGCCTTCTTCCAGCTTTTTGTCATCAGTGTCTGTCATCTTCACAGAGGGGAAGTAACAGAGTATCAAGTGTTAGTTGTGAGATGAAGGTACCATGTATGATGTTTTTACTGGGATACCTGTGGTAGCCCAGTATTAAAACACCTTTGCTTTTTTGTTGTCTTTTTCCTCTGCCACAAAATGGAAAAATTGTGCAATAGTGCCCAGTGGTCATTGGGCCCTCAACACCATGACAACTAACTGTGATCCAATGAGGATGAAGGTGTTCACATGCTGATCAGAAGTGTTATCTTGATGATGATTGATGTTGTCATGCATGGACAGGGCCAGGTCACCTGATGAACCACAAGATTTTTGCCTATAAAACTCTTTTGTAAGCCATTCTGTAATTGTTCTGGGGTTGTTGTTTTGGCAATGGAGGTTCAACATTTTTGGTTTACGATTACCTGGAGCTTTATGGCGCAAATGCTCAAAATACTTACAGAAGCATACACAAGTAGTATTGTTCACAGCCAATCCACACTAAAAGCTGTTATTGAGCGGTGTTTTTGGAATGAATGAGTCGCAAACGCTTGAAAGCTGTGAAAGCCTTGCATGCATTGAAAGCCATGAAAGCCTTGTATGCCAGGTATACCAACATCTTAGTTGAAAAACGTACACTTATTGAAAAAAGCAAAATCTTAAATCTGAAACCAAACTGCATATATTCTATGCAATCTATTGAACAGCACTTCTACCATGAGACTGGAGAACAAAACCCTAATGGATGCAAACTGCTTGTGAAGAAAGATGCCATGTTGGATTCACTCAATGCCAAGGAACATAGCTACGATAACAGTACAAATGGTATTAATTTCATGATCAGAAAGGTGAATCTTATGTTTGTTTTCACCGCAGTTGTATGGATGTTCTTTTTTAATAAATACATGATCCAAAATCCTGTGTTTTTTGTGTATAATGTTATTATGTTATCTATTGTTTATGCAATTGTCTTGTGGGCTAATTTCTATGTAAAGTTGATGATGTCTTCAACAAAAGCTGCCATGAATAGCTTTGATGAATGTAACATATTCGAGAAAGCTTCTCAGATATCTGTTATTGTATGTGATAATAAGCTTAATAATAGCAATGATGAAGCTTTTTAATAAATACAGTCCATAACTGTAGATCTCGATACAACAAATTTGTTTATTTTAATCATCCTCGCACACATGGTATTTGTGTTTGTAATCGTGAGCCCTGCAGAATACCAAAAAAAAGAATTAAACGAAATTTGAAGAAATCTAGGAAAGTAAGACATTTACTTCGAACCTGCATTAGAAAAAGCATATCGAAGTCTTCCCAAATGCATCTTTTTACATATAAAGCTTGTGAAAAAATATATGCACATGGAATCAGATGTGAGAATAAAGGGAAAATGAAATATCCCTCTTCTGCAGTCAGGAGAAAATATCGAAAGTCTAACAAATACAGGATACTGAAAATGCAAAACCAATATCCACATGTAATAACCAGTCCAAAGCCAAAGCAGTCGAATACATGGAGGTCTAATTAAGTACCAAATACATAATTATAAAAATCTGAATCACAGGGTAAATTATTTTAAGTCTAATCTTTCTGGGAATATAGAAACAAACCCTGGTCCTGTTATTAATTCTCCTAAAACAATTCAAGCTCCTTACAGTCAAGACAATGTGGCAATTTTTGGGTTAAATGCTGGTACACAGTGTGTAGCCATGTCACTTGCTTTCCCTCATATATAACAAGAGGAATAGTATTGTATTCTCAATGGACTTGGTTAATATCATGAACACTGGTAATTAATTGTATTCTGGTCTATCTAGTCTATCCAAGCAATCCTATTTACTGTTAACAGAAGTACCTAAAATGATAATAGTGTTTAATATTAACTATCAGCTTCAATATAGTCCAAGCTATACTGGTACTATACATGGTACTTGTGAAGTACAAGATTTCAATTATTGTATGTAATTTGCTAGTGCTATGCAGGCTTTGCTTAAACAAAATTATAATTCCTTTTTTTAACAATCCTTAGTACAACAGTAGGTTTTTACTGTAATGGTGATGGTAAGTTGAAGGTATTTGATTCTCAAGGTAGAGATTCATATGGTATGCCCCATCCTCAAGGAACTTGTGTAGTGTTAGAAGTTAACACCTTAAATAAGCTGATAAACTATTTTGAAGGTCTTTATCAAAATCCAAATGTTTCATTTGAACTCTAAGGTATACATATTAATGAAAAACAATGTGATATGACAGATATTTCTGATTAACAGTTGTCAGCTGTCCCCCTTGAAGCAAATCATGTAGATGCTGAAATTAAAACCATTCATATTACCTTGTTATGCTGTTGTGCCACATCTTTTTATAGCATTTGTTCTTCCATTATCAAATATTGTGGGTATTGGAATTCACAGACTCTAGATAGAATCACTGACCATGCAATCAAGTTTTACAACAAAAAACTCAATGGCGATAACAATGCACTCACTATCAACAACTTCCCAAGGATACTTCAAATATATGATGCAGATATTAATATTGCCTTTAATTGGAGAAATAAGGAGTACTATGATGCACATCTCGTGGTAGCAAATTATTGCTTCAGAAGTTAATCACAGATAATACTAAGGACACTACTGGGTTTTCAATGTGGATTTCAAATTATTGCTTCAGCTGTATTTTTCAGCACAATAATATGAAAACAAAAGCAAAAAGGGTTAAGTACTATATTATAAGATTCAGTCCTAATGGCACAACTTTTCAAAGTAAGATTAGGGAAGGTCCATATTATATTTGCTCTGTTTGTAACAGAATACTATACAGAAAAACCGTTATCCAGTTAAAAAAACAAATGTACAACACTCAGCAAGAACTATTGACTGAGTTGTATACCCATGATTCCTTTCTATCTTGGAATCACCTATCACCTATCACCTGATGACAACCTTTTTTGAAATAGATGTATGCCCTTGGCCAGACTTGAGCTCGCTATTTCAGTATACTAGTCTAACACACCCAAAGTATCACTACAATTGATCCCAAGGATCCAGTACCATCCAGGTATCCCAGTTACCCTGCTCACAGGGTCTAGTTACGTCCAATTCTGAAAGTTAATTTTCCTGTTCAGAAAGTTAATTAGGCATTGCAGATCAGAGAATTTTTCCTCCCACTACACAAAATTATAAGGTTAAATTTCCAAACCTTGGCCATTTTCTTTTCAATATAGATAATGTCCTCCACTGACTTCAATTTTTTTCTTTTGCCTTTATATTTTTTTGTGAAATAACTTCCTGCTTAGCAACATGTACCTTAACTGCCTTAAAGTAAAGTAAAGAGAATTAAGTGCTAAATTGAGATAATTCTGACAACAGCTGATGATCAAGTTCATTCTTAGCACCTCTCTTTTTTATGACACATTGATATTGTAACAAGAAGTTGCAGTTTAACCCTTTACCTGCCATGAGTGACCGATGCAGAATTTCTCCTCTCAATTTCAATTTCAGTATCAAGAAACAAAGTGATAAGAATAAAGACAAATATTGTTTAGGGGATTATTACCAGACTCAATACCAAATTCTCATTACTCACATTATAGGAACTGTATAGTACTCACTAAGAGGAATCATTAGTGAGATGCTGAGTGAAAGGGTTAATCACCTTTGGGAGTAAAACTGCTAAATATCCTGAAAACAGACAACTCTCTGAGCTAGCAACCTAGAGACATTTGTGATACAGGGAGAGCTAATTAAAAACTATTTAGGAGAGAGATATTAGCCTACATTGTATACAGAGCTTTTGAAAGAGATGGCAGACAGCCAAAACAGCCGGCTAGTCTGCCATCTTAACCTCAATCTACAAAAAATGTTTCTGAAATTAGCTGAATGATTGAAATACCATCTGAGAAATTTGTGCAGCATCTATTTCTTAGTTTTGAGTTCAATTGAAAGCCTAATTGACCAGTATCAGGTTGAGATGTGTGAATCAATTACACATTGCAAATTTACTCTGAGAATCTTGGAACATCTACACATTTTAACTGAATTGTTTACAGTCTTTTGTGTAAAGTGACAAAACAACATGGCCGCTTCCATTTTGCCTTTCTAACTCTCTAATTCATTGACAGCCCGAGTATAGCAGGGTTTTTAACAAGAAATGCAGTAGCAGGAGAACACCGTCAAGTAACAGAAAAAGATTCTCACATCTAAGTAAAATACACCTTAGACTATCAAAATATAGCATGAGAATTCTCACTACTTCCTTTCCCTTGTGAACTTCCTGACATAGGGTTTACAACATGCAGTTGATTTAAAGCTAAAGTTGATGTAAAAATGTTTAAGGCACCTTTTATTTCTCATTTAAACCAACAATTCCATGTGTCCCCCTTCAGAGGATTACTTGCTATACCTTTCATTGGAAAGCTGTATCGATGATTGTGAAAGAAATATAACTTATCTTCATGGCTACTTAAGGAAATGGTGGGGTGCTAATAATGCCACAGTTAAAAAGATATCTCACTAAAAAAAGTGGAGAAATGTAAATTTACATATATTCTTCCTTTCAAGGCATACTATATCCGAACAAAGCCACGTGAGGTATATCTCACAGATAATATTTATGGTAAGGGATAAGAAGAAGGGAATAATGCATTCCCTCAGTTAAAACTGAAGGAAAATAACGTCAAGAAAAGCTATCTTAAATTTTTACTTTTAAAAGCGTTATAAACAATATTCAAGGGAGTGCAATGAGACTAATAAGGTTTTGTTCGTGAGTTTTAGAAGTTGTTATCCTAAATCTAATATATATTTATTCAATTGAAACATTCTTGGTCAAATTTCTGTCAAAAATATTTCGATGGACTAAAACGTACTACAGTTTTCCTGTGTTAAATTAACCTATATTCATACTGTGAGCTTAATTTAAAAGTAAGATTCATCGAAAAAAAGTCTACAGCCTGCACGATTTCACTCGACAGTGACAGTCAGTCGGCAAACTTCTGAGTTTGTACGACATAAATTTTATTCCATGAATCGACTATTAAAGAAAAATAACCAAGAGTACGATGAATCAGTTTAGAAATTCTGAAGAACTGCTCTATGACTAAAATAAATGAGGACATAGCTTATGAAATTTAGAAAAAAAAAACCTTTTTTCCGATTTCAATCATGCATGCTTAGCGACAACATGCAGAATATATTCAACGCACACAACAAAAGCGATTAAACAAACTAAAAAATTCGATGTAGAGGGAGACTCCGTGCAATTTCGTACCTTTCTGGTTATTCAGGCTGTTCAGACGTCGACTGAAGAGAACTGAGAACATCAGTTAAAAGTGGTAAGCCCAGCGCTTTTTATCACAATGCCTCTAATAAACCTGATCTAAGACTGTTGTCCAGATCATAAACGGCCTTGTTCGAGCGGGAAATAAAACCTGGTAACTAGTTGCATTCCTTGCACGCGGTTTTACGCGCGCAGAAAAGGCTGTCACGGAAATGACAGAGTGTAATAAACCAGATGTGACAATGAAATCATGAAAAGCGAATGATCCAAACCCAAGTTTTATCCGAGGCCTAAAACTGAAAAGAAAATAAAGAGAAGTATTTTAACTACAGTGTGCAATTTTTGGGCAAAAAGGAAAGGAAATAACCGTGAGCAGTGACCAGGAAAAAATAGTCATTATTATTACTTAGGTTTCGGTTTTACAACACTCAATCCAAAAGCGCTCTCTATGCACCTGATAATTGATTATCAAGGTGGTGTAAATACAGAGTGCAAGAAAGAAAACCCTGGACCACTTTCCACGATACATTTAAAAAATGTACCTATTTGCTAGAAATGGTTGTCTTAACTTTACCTCATGGCTTTTTTGATTACTAAATGACATTCATGTGACCCCTGATAAACTAAGCAGGTATCGCTATTTTAATTATATCCACAAACATGTTATGAAAACCGATATGATCAAGTTATCATCACTTAGCAGCTTTATTGTTTCACTAACAAATATTTTACAAGATAAATTCCCTTAGGGAAATATCAAATACAATATCTTACACTGAAAGTTTTCATATGTAATGCTACCATTAAGTTACTGCCCTAGAACCCTCTTATCTATTTAAGTTCTCAATGACATGTCTACAAATCATACTAGCTCCCACAACATGGTGAAGAAGAATTTATTTCATTTAGTTACATTCTAATAAATATTTTTGTTCATCCCTCTTCATAATTTTGAAAAGAATACATCTCTTTTCTTTTGAAGGCGATTTTTTTATTTATGACTGTGATTTATGACAATACAGTTATACAACAGAAATATCAATAACCATTTATAATTTTAGTCTACAACAACATATCAGAAACAAAACAACCTACAAAGATGAAATTAAGTGAAATATATTTTTAAAGTTTTTCTAAGATTGGAGATTACAAATGTTTTCAGAAGTTGAAAATAACAATTATTTTTGTATTGATTCACTGTTTTATTTCATGGCTCCTTCTCTGGCAAGCTCATCTGCAGCTTCATTTCCTATGTTCCCCTGATGTCCTCGAACATGAGTCTATGAGAACCACAAACAAAAAAGAAAGCAAAATGAAAGTCTTCTAAGATGATTAATAAGCTGTTATTGGATGAAGCTGCAAATTTTTGTCAGTCAGGAGAGCACAAGATGGATGTGCTTGCCATTGACAGATAATGTTTTACAATAACAGAGTTTAATATATTGTTTTATTGTAACATTTTTGCCTTTGTTTTTTGAACTTATTTTCAAGAGCCTCTCTCTGATATTCCAAATAAGTTGGCAATCTCCAATTTTCCACAGGAGAGCATCAATACAATAGCCATACATAGGCTGAATATTATTTGCAACAAAACACAGTTCAAAAGAAAAGCACATATTGTACATGAGCAGACCACTATTTTTAGACTCATTTTCAGGTTGAAAGGTGGGCTCTTGGCAAACAAGATGGATGGAAAGAAACATGATTCTAATTTAATTTAGTACAACCTACAAGTATAATGGTAATCTTGGTATAATAGATTATGTTACCAATAGTATACTTTTTTCAGATCTATAAAACATACCCATTTTACATCAATTTCATCACACAGTTTGGTAAGTTTCTGAAATTCCACCTTATTCTTCACTTCAGTTCCATTGACTGTTTTCCAGCCATTTTTCTTCCATCTTTTACACCAGTCTGTGGCTCCTACAAATAAATAAATAAATACCGGTAAATTAATACCGGTAGATGTAAATGAAAGAAAAAGAAACCAAAACAATGACTTTTAACCCTTAACCTCATAACATTAGTACATTGTACATGTATACATATTCACCATACTGTTCTCTATATATCTGGCATGAAAAAAACAAGGAGGATCTGTTTAACAGACACAAGCCTCTTAATTTGCTGATCACCTCTTTTATTCTCATGACCCTAATTTTTGATCCAGGGTGCTATAGTGTAAGAAAAAATTAGATGCTAGTCTCTGTAAGAGTTAAAAGGGTTTATAGAAAATTAGTACCTAAAGTTTAATTTTAACAAGTGGTAAAACCATCTAATAAATTAGAAATCAGCTAGATCTATTTAATGACTGTTCTAAGGTCCATTGCATAACATGATGCATTAAAATTTCCAGTAAAAATCAAATCTTAGGCATAAAGATCAAAGATTCTGCAGAGAAACTTCTCACAATGTACTATAATTATTAAGACACTGGCCACATTGTCCAACTGAGATGTGGCAAAAATAAGGAAACTAGATTGCTGGTATTTGGACTAGACATAGGTTTTATCCTGATAAATCATCAATTTGTCTCACCTTTGATAGTATAATTGCTGTCTGTCCTGATCTCTAGTGTTTTGTATCCCATTTCTTTCGCTGTTTCAAGAGCTTTGACAGCAGCCTGATGGAAATAAAATTTAAGAATTGATACTTAGTACTTTTGGAATCCTCAAGACACCATCCTAACAAAAAGTGAAAACAGTGGTATGCATGAGATCTTTTCTTTGCAACGTTAAGTACTGATAGTAAAGCAAAAAACTAGCTGCTATTATAAATTATCTTTAAAACAAAATACATACAAATGTAGCAAACTTTCTTAGTAACATGAAAGCCTTTTATTGCATGAACACTGTTTAGATTACTGGAAAAACACTCCAAAAAAGAGCCAGTGAAATAAAAAATAAATTCCATCAAAAATTTTTGGTCACCATTGCTTGTTTTGATCCTGAGCACTGATTAGTAGAACTGAATTTAATTGAAGTTTTTTAATTTGTTGCCCATAAATTAATTGGTTAGTTTTGTTTAAATGGCACACACAATAAATGTAAATAAGAGAGATGGTAAGTCAGTAAAGAGATAGAGAGTCTCTGTGGCTCAGTGGTAGAGCATTGGAGCGTGGAATCTAAAGGTCAGAGGTTCAATTCCTCATGGGGACTCAGAATTTTTTTCTTTGTCCCACACTTGTGACAAGATAAAAAAAACATCTTTCTCTATCAATAAGCATATTCTCCATACTGTTCTCCATACATTTCTAAGGTGCAATTCTTTAGTGGGTGATCATTTCCTATATTCTCACGACCTTAATGTTTGATTCAGAGCTGATATTGTAAGGAGAAATTAGATGCTGGTCATTTTTAGGGGTCAAAGGGTTAAGGTGAAAAAATAGAACAGAGTCAGTGAATGTCAAAGTTCTCACCATTATTTCTGCCCTTTGGTTGGTTTGTTCCCCTTCAAGTCTCTCACTTACATTTCTTTAAAGAAAACATAAAAAGAACAGCAGTTAATAAAAGTTTTTAAATTGACAATATTTAAGCCGTAAGCAAAGTGAAACTCAAATGAGAGACTGCTTGTATTTAGTACATAAGAAATTGTGTGTAAAAACTATTTACATCCTCAGGATATGCAGTCCCTTAGTAGATACCTATGTCTTTCTTTTCAAAGAATTAATTTTAATTGATTTCTGCCACAACTACTGGATTGGGAAATAAAAACACAAAAAATCTTATGGTTTATTACCAGCATGATAAAAGTTAAAGGATACCTGGTATTTTTTGGACCCCAGTAAACACCAATGCCCGCTCTAGCACCCTTCTTTCCATTCTTTGTGCAGCCCCCATCAGTATATACCACAGGTCGATCTCCTGAAGAGGAGTCATCATTACTTAAGGATGATATTGAAGAACTGGTCCAGCTTGAGCCAATCCCAGAGTTTCTATAAGGTTTAGAGAACTTACTGCCTTTTGAGTTCAAGGACCTTGCATTGTCAAATTGGTCGTTGCCACACATCTCATGGAAAGTTCTCTTTCTGCTTTCCTGCTGACCACAAGCCAAATATTTTACAGTGAGTACCTAAAATACATGACCTAAGGTGTCCTTCAGCATACTGTGAGAGTAAAGCATTGCGCCAGAGCAGAACACAAATCCACCAAATCTGTCAAGTTAAGGTCCACCTGGCTGGTCACTAGGCTTCTATGTCTCCCATATTATCCTAAAAATGAGTACAATTCAACCATATAATTATGCCACATTTGATCTCCTTTCAATCCTTTCACTCTATGAGTGACCAATACTGAATTTCTCTTAAGAATATTAAAACATTATGAAGCAGACAAGTGATCAGAGAAAAGAATAACATCAATTAGGAAATTACTACTTGTTCTAATATCAAATTCTCTGAAATATCATCATGAGAATTGTACAGCAGACAGTAAGGAGAATTAAAAAAATGGGAACTTTGGAGTGAAAGGGTTAAGGTTCACCCAGCTGGTCCAGGCTTATGGGTCTCTCACCTGATCCTCACATTCAACAGAATGCAATTAAAGTACACCACATATGATCTCCTTGTAAACCAACCATTAATAAGTTTATCAACACTTACAGATGGAGCTGCTACAGCTGAGGTCAAAGACCCACTAGACTTAAGTCCTGAGACAAAACTCTTAGCCTCATCCTCTGTGGAGAACTTCTTATATCTTGCACCAGGAAAGCCTTTAACATAACTCTCACATTCCTTCCTGAAATAATGCAAATGTTAGTCAGAATCCAGCTGGAAAATATTCTTATTTTGCTAAAACTCAATGGAATTGTATCCTTAGTCAGTCTATAGCGGACAATCCAACTACCTTGTTCAGGCTGGAGACCTTCAGTTATGGAAAATAATTTCCACTCTACCATTTGCTTAATGTTCTCACTTTTCCTTTTGTAGCTCTCATCTGATGTAAGTAAGGTGTGATGAGCAAGTTTTTTTCTCACTGTTTTGACTAAGACATCACAGGTTTACAAGCTGATAAGCTTGTCAATAAGTTAGTAATATAATATGATTGGCAATACCTCTATTGGGGGCAACATGACAACACCGGGGGGGGGGGGATGAAGTGAGTCAGGTGGA